TTTGACCTCTTCTCTCGTAATCAGTAAATATATATGTCCCTGCTCTTAATGTTCTCCTCAGACTTGCAGTTTGTGCTGTGTGGGAACCTGTAAGTTTATCTTGGCGCCTGCTGCACTCACAGATACTCACACATGTCTGTACTGAAATAAACTGGTCACACTGAGGTTAATTTCTATTTTTCAGCCGGTGGATTTCCTGTTGTTGTAGGTTTCGGTTTGTCGCACACTTCTCACCATTACCTGACCTGACATTTTGATGGTGCTGTTGGTAAACTAGATTTTCAGCGTTCCCCTCTCAAAATATGTACACACTTGCAGTATGATCCAGTATACGAAAAATACAGATCATTTGTGAGCTGTGAGTCATGCGAGTGTTTCAGTAGAATCTAAGAATAGAAATATTGATTAGAAATGAGCCTAAGTCCCCTTCAGTTCTCACAGCTTCAGGTTTCTTGTGTTATCATGGGGGTTTTGGTGAGGGTTTCTGATGACTGTGCAGCACCCAGTTACAGGTCATACAAATATGATGTGTTATTTGATAGAAACCTATGCATTACTTTTTTTTATTTGTGTGGGTGGGGGGCTGGTTTTGTTGGTTTGTTTTTAATGGATAAAATAAGTCATGTGTGACAAAATGCAGTAGGCTGTTTTCTATTTTTGGCATTTTTGATATCATCTAGTGAACTGGCTCTTTGCAAACTCATAAATTCTTCTGTGGGTGAACTATAATATGTTTGCGAGCTTTTCTGTTCAAAAAACAGAATTTTATATTTTACATTGTGCATCTGCAGGTCTTTCTTCCATGCTTTGTCCATTTTAGCTTCTTTCTCTAAGACGGTTTAAAAACAAAGCAAGGGTAATTCAGTATGTACTCAGCATAGCACATTCAAACCAGCAGTATATCTGCTAACAACAAGCAAGAGTGTTGATTTTACATGTGAATGCAGCCAAAATCACAAAACTGACTTCTCTGATAAACTCCTCATTCACATTCGATGCCTTCTGTTACAAAATCTGTAGGCCTAAAGAGAAGAAGAAACTAGAAACTGGTTTAAAAGTAAAGGTTGGTTTTTATTGTCCTTAATGGATAGCATTAGTGTCGCTTTTTCATACTAATTAAGAATTAAGTTAATCTTCTAACTTCCTGGTTCCTTGGACACGTGGAGTAGAAAGCCTGGACCTTGTGCTGAAATTCAGAGCCTGACGCAACACAAAGGTTTTTGTCGCACATGAGTGTCCGAGTGTTTTTGGTGCTTTGATGTTGGATAAAACAAGGTAAATGTCTACAGGGGTCTGCTCATACTACAAACTCACAGCTGGTTAGCAAAGCAGCACTCAACACTGGTGTATTGGGTTTGTTTTGAGCCTCGTATGTGTGTGTTTGTGTCTTTAGGACAAGTGGCCGAAGAAGATCAGGATCAGGGGAACGCAGACCACAGTCCAGCTGTAGCCAAGCCAGTTTGTGTGAATGGGACAGAAGGGGGGTCTCTGAACAGCAAGGCCAAAGCCGAACGCCGATCCTCATCCTCGTCCAACCCCTCACGTAAAGGAGTCTCCACAGCCAGCAAAATCCGCAAGCTCTCCACCTGCAAACAGCAATGACCCTTCTCCCCCTTTCTGCCTCAGCAGCAACCCACCTGGTGAGTGTGCAGACTGCTTCACAAAAATTGTGGCTCAATTTGTGCTTCTGAAGGACACCCTTGTTATACAGTAGAAGGTGGGAAAAGATAAAGAAGCCCTTATGGAAAGCAGGTGCTGCAGATCCAGATAAAAGGTAGGAGGAATGACAGTGCAGTGGAAGGGAGGAGGAGGGGGAGGAAATGAGTGAGTGAAGAGAGTCTGTGTTGATATTCAGCAAGCAGCACTCTGGATCACCACCATTCCCCTGGCAAACACACGGGCACTTTCCTATACAGTGACAAAAAAACCACATCTGGACCTATCCCACGGTGATGCATCTCCTGTTTCTGTTCGGATCTGTTGCCTTTGAAGGGTTCATCAGTCACCCTCATTCACGTGGAGTGAGGCAGATTTTTGCTACAAGCGTACACATAAATTTAACAAGTTGTCCTCCTCTCTTTTTCCAGTTACCGCCCACAGCTGCTCTTTCTGTCTTCAGCACATACAGAACCAGTCACGGAGCGAGGCTGTTTGTCACGGGTGCAGTGCAGGAGAGATGCTGTGTATTAATTTGTTCAGGCGATGACTCATCCTTGGATGAGATAAAGTGGGCTGTGGGATGTTTGTGTCTCTCTCTTTCTCACTCTGTTGGTTGAGTCTTTTCCGCGTTAACGGCGCCAATTAGTACTTGTCTTGTAAAAAAATTCTGTCACAGCGCTTAGTTTTAAGTCGGGGGGGGGCTTTCAATACCCTCGTCAGACTTCCGTTAATATTCTGTTGTCTGTGTCCCCTCAGGGTGATCTGTCCTCGTTCTCCTGTGTCCAGAGTCCTCACAGTTGTGAGAGAAACCTGCTGACATTAAGCCCCCCCAACACCTTCACCTGCCCCCCTCCCCAAACCTCCTTGGACCACTGGCCTCCAGAGTCGTTTGAAGATGCGGTATTAGCGACGAGGAGGAGGAGGACAGCATGAAATGTTCTTTCTGCTCTGAGACTGAGGCTGTGAAGACGGTGTTTATTTTCTCCAAAATTTTGGGCTCCTTTTCAACTAAACTCATCCAGTTCTCTCTTATCATTTTCCCCCTCCCAACCCTCCCCCCTCCTCTCCAATCTTGTCATCCTCCTCAGAGAGCCAAGTGTTGCACCGGACGTTACAGACTCCACCACCCACCTACCCACTCCTCCTCTCCACCCACCCCACCCATCCCTCCTTAACCCACCTTGTTTCTTTGATTACCTTTTGTTTTTACAGAACCCTAATGGCAGTTTTTAAAACACATTGTGATGTGTAAAAAAAAATTAAAGAGGAAAAAAAACCCACACATGTTATGAATAATTCTATATTTAAACCTCTGCTGAGCATAATTATGATAGTGCTACCACCGACATAGAAACTGCATGCTATACAGAGCTGGAAGAGAGGGAAAGCTCTTGGTTTTATGTGGATGCACTGACGGACTGAAGCCTTGAGATTTGTATTTTTTCCTCCCCTTTTAGGTTTTTTTT